TCGCACAAATAAGGGATGAATTAACTAAGACGGATCTTATGAATGTCATCAACAATTGTCCAAATGTCGATACAGCCTTCTCTAAACTAATTGTATTGATTAAGTCGCTGACTGATAATGCTAGAGTGACCTACAAAATAAGACATAAATATGAGAATGAAGTTCCTCCATATGTTGACAGAAAATATGTGAGATTAACTAATAGCATAAATAATTTACATGACAAATTACGCAAAAGGAGGAATAGGAACCAAGCAGTAAGCCTTTTAGAGGCCAAAATGTTAAATCTTGAAGAAATATTAATTAAACATACTGAGATGAAGGCAAAAATCTACTACTCTAACATCATAGCAAATAACAGATCATTTTCATGGAATATTATTAATGAAATAACAGGTCGCTCAAAGAAAGATGAAAATTTAGTAATTCAGCACAATGGAAACGTGATATTCGACAAGAATGAAATTGCTAATGTCTTTCAAATAAGGTTCAACACGATAATTAATAACACATCTACTATAATTGAAATGGATTACCTAGGTGAACCACTTGTAAATAGCATCGTAATGAGTCGAGTTACAGAAAACGACATATTTGAGCTAATGAATGACTTATCACTAAAGAAAGCAGTTGGTAGTGATGGACTTCCTGTCAAAGTTTGGAAAGAAAATATTGACATTCTAGCTCCGATTCTGACTATTCTAATCAATGAAATGCTTGATAGTGGAATCTATCCAGATATACTAAAAATTGCTGCTATTAAACCAATACATAAGAATGGAAATAAAATGCAGGTTGAGAATTACAGAGGAATATCGTTGCTTCCTACTATCAATAAGGTCTTTGAACGAGTAATCTACGATAAAATTGAACAATTCGTTACTCGATTTAAGCAGTTTGATGAGCTCCAATTTGGATACAGAAAACACTATGGTACGCAAGATGCATTATGTAAACTTTATAGCACAATCTCTAAGGCACTGGATAAGAAAAAATATATTGTTGCTGTGTTTTTCGACATATCAAAAGCCTTTGACAGCATAGATCACAATGTGCTGCTCTTTAAGCTAGAGAAAATGGGTATACGAGGAAAGGCACTTGATTTAATAAGAAGTTATCTTACCAACAGACAGCAGTTTGTAAAAATTGGAGATGTGTTAAGTGAAATCGCGGAAATTTTGTTTGGAGTTCCTCAAGGCAGCTGTTTAGGCCCACTGTTGTTTGTGTTAATGCTCTATGATCTAAAATTCATTGAAACCAAATCCTCAATAATCAAGTACGCTGACGATATTGTTCTTATATTGGTCTGTGATCAACTTGATGAAATTCCAACAGCTATAAAGAAAGACATTGATAAGATTAGACACTATTATGCAAGTAATGGACTCAAACTAAACGCAAATAAATCCAAGTACATGACATTCGGATTTACAGGCTACAAACATCTTGATGAATATATGAATGGCAATGGGATCGAAAAAGTTGAGTCAGTTAAATACTTAGGAGTAATTGTGGATAGCAACTTAAGGATGAATGGACACACAAATCATCTTGTCAAAAAAATTTCTCAATCAATGAATGCAATGAACACTATTAAAAAGTACTTACCAACTTACTCGCTAATGCAGTTTTATAACGCGTTTATCGGCTCGCACTTATTTTGTAACGGCTTTTTGATGTGTCGAATGAATGTTACGGATATTAACAGGCTGCAGATTATCCAGAATAAAGCTCTGAAAACAGCATTTGGACTAGAGCGAAGATATCCAACTGAAAAATTGTACAATGAAATAGCCGTTAATGTTTTACCAGTTAAAGGAATTGCTTACCTGAACTTGCTTCTGCTAATTAAGAAGTATATCCTAACGAACTCTGAAGATTTTGAAGTCATTAATGATGGACGTAGAAAAAATCAGTTAAAATTTATCAGATTCCGGAATATGCTTGCTGATGATCTTGTTTGCCTTGGTCCTAGAGTGTACAATCAACTGCCACTGGAAATAAGAGAGATAAAAAGTTATAACTCATTCAAACGTAAACTTAAAATTTTTCTCTTAGAAAATAAATTAATATTCCTGAGGGGTAACCAACTAGACGTAAACAACTTATTCAGATCAGCATAATCCATAAGATGCAAAAAAGATGTGAAAATTCAAATTTATATTACAACGTTTAAATTTTGTTAGTCTAATATTCTAGTTTAAATGCTTCTTATAGATCCATATTTGTACTATTACATTGTTACTTACCTCACTGTGCGTGTACGCACTTTATTCAAACTCATCAACACTATTTTAATGTATCTATTTTTTTTTTTGTTTACACAAAAGTTTCCGTTAAAAACAATGTTAAAATTTTCTTATAATTTTCTTAACTGCCCGAGAAGGTCAAATAAACTCAATCAATCAATCAATCAATATGGAAAAAAAAAAAAAAAGATGTAAAATTCAAGGCACAAACTTTTCATCTCTGAACATGTTAAGCTATCTTGCTCCATTCCCTCACAAAATTAAAAAAACTGATTTTTCAATCTGAACAAAACCAATAGATTCACACGTGAAAACGGTGTGCATATAATTAAATTCAAATCTACACCAAAAAACGTAGAAAAAACTTTAAAACCATTCAAACCATTAAAAAAATTCAAAAAACATTTTCATTAATTAAAACATTTTCTTTCATTTAATAAAGACATTTTCATTTCCTTCTTTTCACAAATTTTTCAAAACTTTTTTTTTTCCTTCAAAAATTTTTTTTTCTCCATTAAAAAGTTTAACAAAAAGAGTTTCTTTTTCTTTTAAATTTCTTCCATTTAAAAAACCGAAAAAAGAAGAAAAAAGTTTTTTAAAAAGCATTTTTTAAGCTTCATTTTATGCGACATAAAATGTAAAATTTCCTCTCAAGTATTCACATTTATGCCAACATTCTCGTATCGGGAGCACTTTTCATTATAACGATCGTTAAATCTTTGAAAATAAGAGCACAATGTTGGGGTTGGGGGTAGAACTAGGGTTTTCAATCCCGGGATTCTAGTTAAAACTTTACATAAATCCCTAAAAACTGTATAAAAAACAGCTGTAAACCCCAACCTACTCTCTATACCTCACATCCATTCAAACCCAGAATCAATTCCTCTCTAGCAATCAATCCCACTTACCTTCAAGAACGAGCCTCTCTCAATCCTTTTCCATCTCAAGTACCACAAAAGCAACGAAAACATTAACAATAATAAAGATAGATACAGTCACAACATTACCAATAAGAAGACATTTATTCAATGACAACAAAAAAGAAGAAGAAAAGTCGTTAAGAAGAACTTAAACAGCAAAGTCTCTCAAGAATCTAAAGGGGAGGGGGTTGGCGGCAAAAAAGAGGAAATCTCAAAAACTTTTTTTTGTTGTTGTCATTGAAACTTTTCTGTTGTATCCTTTTTTCTTGTTTGACTTTTATGTGCAGTAGGGAATGATCAAATTAAGGATGAAGAAATTTATCTCAAGACGAAAGTTGAAGCGGGTCGTCCTGGGAGCTTTTAATGTGATTGCCATAAATGGTAATGATTTAAGTGATGAGTGGGAATTGAGGAGCTTTAAAAGTGATTAGATTCTTGAGAATTGAGATGATTGGTGCGAAAATTTTAAGGTTGTAAGAAGCTTTGCTGTGAGAAAATGAGAAGAAAAAACTTGTGCATCATATTTTGTGGGAGAGTTTATTGTTTCTCCTGAATATGACGCATGGTTTGGATCAATAGTGAAGTTGTGTATCTTGGTAGTTAAAAAATAGTGCTGTAACATTTAATATGAGATTTAAATTCATTAGAGTCATATCAAGGCTTTTGCAGCACTAAAGCGCCAGGTCAATTTCAATATGATGTTTAGTTTCGATCTATAAGCTGTGTTCTGTGATTCGTAGGTCAGTTTTTTTAAAATGACAAAAGTTGCGGTTCTTTTGGCAATAAAGGTAGTCAAACATTAGAATCCTCCATCGGGCAGTTGGACCCTTTCAATAAATACGTGGTTAAGAGCAAGTTCTTGGTTTTTTTGAGCACTTAATTTTTTATCTTTACCTTTGTAAGTTATGGACAGTTCTACTGCCACTTGGGCACAACCGCATCAATCTAAACCTTTTTGTCGCTTGTTTGTGCCGTTGTATGTCACATATGCTACCGTAAGCTTCAAACCTAGACTCTAATGGTCAAAAACTGACAAATCTTTGAGCTACAGTCAAACATTTAAAACTTAGACTCAACAACCAATAAAATAAGTCAATAAAACTCAGATTCTAACTTAACATATTTTAATCCATCCACGTTTGCCATTAGCATCATTAAACTTTTATTTCAAACCCTCTCACACCCCCACCCCATCCAAAAAAACAAAACAAAGAAAGCTCATTCAACCGTCCTCTCAAAATTTTCATTTCCATCACAGTCACAACAGCAATAAGGACAACATTAGTTCAGCAAAAAAAAAAATATATAAAATAAGCAGCAAAATCAGCTCTGTTGCTGCGTGAAGAAAGATAAGACAAGCAAGTGAATTGGCGAATATAAAAAAAGTATGGGAAAAAGATTATATGACACATAATGAAATATGATGTGGAGTTTTGTGTTTGTGCTTGAAATGGCAAAAAGGAAGGAAAAGAAAAGAAAAAAAAGTTTTTCATTTTTCCTCGCTGTTGTAGTTGTGAGCATGAGAGAGAAAAAAAAAGGTCAAGTGGTGATGGAAATAAGTTTTTTTGATGGAGGAAGAAGACATTGTGACTGCGGCAAAAATGTGAAAGTTAATGATTAAGTTAGGAATGTTAAATGAAGTCTTTTCTGGTGGAATTTTCGGTCAGATGGGAATTAATGGATAAATTTGTATGCAAATTGGTGAATCATTGTTGAAGTTGGTGAAGAAAAATTGAGAAAAAAAATTGATGTGCGTCATATTCAGGGAAAATGTTTAAAGTGTTTTGGGAATATGACGCACAGTAGGTTTTTTTTATTTAAACTTTAATGACTTTATTAAGCAATTTAATTGATGTGTCTTAGGGCTTGTTAATGAATAAGACTCTTCAAAACTTCATCGAATTTATCTTTTAAAATTTGTTCAATCTTGGTACTTAAAAGCTGTTCCAAATTTGTGATTTTAACATCAACTATACTCAAGACATTATCAATTTTTTCATCGATTTTCTTCAATGATTCAGTTACGGACATTTTGAAACTTTCAAGTGAATTATTTAAATTTTTATACAATTTTTGATTCTTAGACTTAAAGTCATCAAATTGGCAGCATTTTTTGCAGCTTGTTGTTGAATTTTGAATAGTTTTTGGTGTCGTCAGTTGAGCAATTTTAGTTTTAACAGTTGGGCTTGTTGCAAACCATGTGTCTGGCAAATAATCCCAAATGCTTATTTTTCCTAAATTTTGAATCTTTTCTTTTAATGGCCAATAATTTGAATATTCAGAATTATTAAAGACCAACTGTAAAGTCAAAAAACTGCGACGAAAGCTTGCAAAATTTCGGTGATTCAAATATTTTGTAAAGTTAAAAATTTCAGTATAAACCGTATCTAGAACTACAAAATCTGGATCTTTACATTCAATTTTAGATTTTTTGATGATTTCTTTAACATCATTTTCATTATTATTGAAGTAATCTCCAGTGCATGGGTTCCTGCCAATATACAATGCTTTAAGTTTGTTTAAATTATCAAAGACATTTAAACCAATGTGGACAATTTTACAATTTGCAAATAAAACATATTCAATATTAGGATTAAAGTCAAATAAATCATTTTCAAGGACCTGGATGTCATGAGTATTTAAACAAAGATATTTTAAATATTTGTAAGATTTTAAATCAGACTTTTGAATGCCTTTTAGTGAAGTGTTATATAATCGAACTCCTACCAAATTTGGAAAGATGCTATTAAGTCCTTGTGGAAAATATTGAATCACTTTTGATTCTGCATGGAAATAAATTTCGTCTCCGTTGGTTTTGCCTGCACTATGATTTCCAGTAACTTCATCAATTTTAACCTTTTCTGGTGAGTCGATATTCGGATCATTTTGAACTTTACATTCGTATTTGTTTAAAACTGACCAAAATGAGTTAATGCCGTAATTGCAGTCAACATTAGTTGATCCATGATAGTTAAGCAAATTGAGAAGAACTAAAGTCGTTCTGAGGACAAAAAGAGATAAAAATAAATCTTAAACATTTATTCAAGGCAGAAAATCTTTCTTTTAACGCATTTTCCGAATTTTGTTTGGGTGGCTGACTGGTTGCTTTTAAAAACTTTTCAACGGATGCACGCAGCGTCTTCGGGTTTTTGGCATTTCAAAGCTACTATTTCTTAAGGCTGCGCAGCATACTTAGTTTTTGACAACTCTTTTCCAACACGTAAATAATCTTTTATTTCTTTTTTGAATGGCATAGCTTATTTTTGCATAACATTTAACTTTGAAGTAACAAAAAACCGTTAAAATTTAAATCTTAAACACTTGTTCAGATCTCGAAGTCAATAGGGTTCGAGTCGCCTTCGAGCTCTGCAATTGTTACAAGAAATAAATTACTTAAAATCACATTTTTGTTGTTGATTCTTTACAAGACAAAAACTTTACTGGATCTTGGTTTTTAATTCCAGAAATGTCTTAAACTTAACTATATAATAATTTATTGCATTGAGCCTGACTGGATCTTAGTTTTTGGTTCCGAATATGATTTGAGAATTAATTTACTTATCTCCGCAAGAAAAATATGTTTATTTCGTCCGTTCACATCTGTAACGGCGGTCTTTATATCTTTATAAAATAAATCTGATTCTGGTTAAAAAAGTTCCGAGCAGCTATTAAAAACAAATCCTCAAAAATGCGCAAAATATCACCCGAATAGCACAAATCGGTTAATTGAATTGAAATCCAGCATCTAGCCATGACATGACTCTGACATGGTGCTAGTTTCGATTTTAATCCAGCACCATGCTAAAACTACACTGGCTTCTATCGGATTTCTGATCGAATAACTGACTTGTGCCATTCAGGTCAAATGAAAGAGAGGATCCTTTTGGAGGTTCCAGGCATAAATTAAGACTTTATTAAACTTACAGAACCGTTTTCATCATGGTTTTAGCTTTACAATCGGACTCCTGCTTCTGAACTTAAATAAACCTTGAATGCTCAAATTTGTCCTATTACCTCAAACGATAGATTGACAATGATCATGTAAATCTCAAATTTTGCTCTCGATTTTATTTTGCTTTCTTTTATGACTTGAAAGATCAATTTGAAGGTCACTAAATATTTATTTTTAATTTAAATTGATAATAAGCTGTCTCATTTTGTTATTTTCGTCAATTTTTACACAACCAAAATTTATCAAAAATCTACAAAGAAGCTATGAGACAATACTTCCTGTCAAACTTGTCATTTGGCACCAAATCACCTAAGATTCTTATCTTATCAAATTTTTATCACAATCCTTTTATCAAAAATAAAAATATTTCACATCTTCCATAAAAATCAAGTCCAAAAATTATCGTCTTCATTCAGTTTAGTTCCAATTTCCAACTTATTAGCTTCAAAAATGAAGATTTTCATACTTGTCGCCATCATTTCCTGTGCTTTTGCTGAAGACATCTTCAGTCAAAATGAATTCTTACCAATTGATGCATCATCAATCATCCCAGTCAGTGAATTTCCTGGATTTTGGGAAGGAACCGAGTTCCCAAAAGCATTTTACACGCCAAATCCACGAGCACCAAGAATTGTTGGTGGAACTGAAGCTCCAGCAAATTCACATCCTTATCAATTAGCTCTTCATGTCACTCGCTTAGCTGGAACTGGATTGTGTGGTGGTTCGATCTTATCAGCTACTTCAGTCCTTACTGCTGCACATTGTATTGGTGGAACAACTACAACTTTAGTCATTGCCGGTGCCCATAACCGAAATATCGTTGAAGCAACTCAACAAAGACGAACAGTACTTCCTGAAAACTATCGTGTTCATCCACTCTTCAATCCAAGCAACTTCAACAATAACATCGCTGTCTTGTTCGGTCTTCAAGCTTTTGATTTTAATGTCAATGTCCAGCCAACCAGACTTCCAACAGCCTTTGCTAATGAACTTTTTGTCACTGAAGTTGCAACCGCCACTGGATGGGGTCGTACTACAGTCACTGGACTTGAATCAGCAGTCCTCAGACGTTCAACAAATGCAGTCATTACAAATGCAGCCTGCTCAAGCATCTATGGACCATCAATTGTCCCTGCAACAGTTTTATGTACGGAAACTTTAGCTGGTTTAGGTGCACAAGGTGCTTGTCATGGTGATGATGGCGGTGTTTTGTCAGTTCCACGTGCTGGTGATACCAGACCTATTCAAATTGGAGTTACAAGCTATTACGCTGCTGCTGGATGTGTTATTGGATATCCAATTGGATATACAAGAGTTACGAGCTTCTTGACATGGTTGCAGGCTAATATGTAAATTGTGTTGTAGGTTTTGTGGATTATTTAACTAAACTTGTTGAATTTAGTGATCAAAAGTTTAATTTTATGTTTAATAAAAATTAGAAAAAAGATTAAGTTTAAAACTTAAAATGCTGAAAGTTTTTTTTTACTATTCTTTGCATTTAATTTGAACAATTTTTAAGAAGTTTGTTCATTGAGACGCGATTTTGATCAGAAAAACAATTATAGCAGCGTGTCAGGAGGCTTTATTAGATACTAGTTCATGTATTAATCCCTCATTATCATTCAAGGGTGACTTATAACCTCTCTGATGCTTAAAATTGTATGTAGAACCGAAAATCGTGCTCCATATCCGTACACAGAATCTATTATTGTCTCTTACAGTCTGGGAGCATGTACATTTTAGCCATTTTGTGTCTCTAGATGTTCTATAACCGAGTTTCCATCCATTCATTATTCCCATTATCTCATCCTTATCCTGCCATACTTAACGAGATAAGATTAGTCAAAATGAATTGATTTCTAATATTATCCTGAATAATAATTAAAAAGCTGCAAACTAGTTCTCAAAACTAGCTTCATTGAGCTTAGTTAAGAAGACATTGAACCAGTTCAAACTTCTTAAATCATCAAGAATGCTTATGCATCCTTAAAATTTAACAATTTGAACCTACAGACATGAATTGATAAAGCTTGACATAACAGGCACACAAATGAGTCACAAAGTTATCAAATTGATAACACCAAATATTTGTCACACCAACCAAAAACCTCAAAAAATCACTTCAGACACCAAAAATAAACATTTTAATCAAACTTAATCTCTGATAAAAAATTTATCATATTTTTTTATCAATTAAAATCGACTTTTAAATTTCAACATTTCAGTCATTTCTAAAGTCAGTCAAAATTCAATCATCAAAGATGAAGTTTGTGGTTTTAGCATTGCTGATTGTGTCAGCATTAGCTGAAGATATTAATTATGATCCAATCGATAGTTCAAGTGCTGTTCGACGAAGTGAACTTCCAGGCTTTTGGGATGGCAAAGACTTTCCAAGAATTCTTAGCGCTTCATTCGCCAGATCACCGAGAATTGTTGGAGGAACTCCAGTGAATCCAGCACATTCAGCTAATTATATTGTAAGATTTTTGGAAGTTGTTATTTGCACAAATTCTTATTAATTTATTCTTCCAGGCTCTCCTCAATGTAAACTTCCCTTTTGGCATTGCCCTTTGTGGTGGATCAATTCTCACCAATAGAGCAATTTTAACAGCAGCTCATTGCATTCATGAGAGCACACACACTTTACTAATCGTTGGTGTCCACAATCGTCATGTCATTGAACCATCACAACAACGTAGAACCATTCTGCCTTTACGTTATGTAAATCATCCACTTTTTAATGCACGAACTTTAAATTCAAATATTGCGATTCTTCATATCGACTCACCATTGACAATGACTCTACAAGTTGGTGTCGTTCGTTTACCACCAGAAGGATCACCAGAGCTTTTTGCTAATGAAAATGCAAGATCACTCGGATGGGGACGAGTAAATAACACTGGACCGACTTCAAGTATCTTGATGCAAGCTTTCAATACTGTCATTACTAATGCTTTATGTGCTCCGTCATTTGCACCTGGAATAGTCAGCGATACTACACTTTGTGTATCTACATCAGCAACTGGTGGACAAGGTGCATGTCATGCTGATGAAGGTGGTGTTCTTGACATTCAGAGGCTTCCAGGTAATCCAATGCAAATTGGAATCACAAGTTTCTTTGCACCTGCTGGCTGTGTCACTGGACTTCCAATTGGATACACGAGAATTACAAATTTCCGTGGTTGGATTACACAAAATACAGTTCCACCAAATCCACCATTGCCATAATTTTTTAATTTTTTAGGGATTTATTTCTGTTGTTGATATTTTGATGTATTTTAAAAATTTGTTAAAAATAAAAATGACCGTTCTAAACGACTAAAGTTTTTTATTAAGAGCATCAAAACTTAATTCTAAGCTATGAAGTATTCAGCGTGCAATACCCCAAAAGCATGAAAACTTAACTCTCGGCTTTGAACTATTCAGCGTTAAATGCCCCAAAAGCTTGAAAACTTAATCCTAGGCTATGAAGTATTCAGCGTTCAATGTGTTATCAAGGCGACGCTTTAAAGCGAAGACTTTGAAGTATAACTGTGTTTTAAAGCGTTGACTTAAAATTGAGTCAGTGGAATGAAGTCGCGACTTAAAATTAAGTCAGTGCTTTAAAAAAATCTATAAAACCTCTACTTCCTCTCCTTAAACTTCTGCAATAAGAAATTTTATTTTCCTCCAAAAAACCACGAAGCTTGAAATTTTATTTTTTCATTAGAAACTTTTTCTTTGCATTTACCACCAACTGTGCTTCAATTTCCTTATAACCGTGTCTAATAACGACCATTAAGATCGTCTATTGGTGAAGGCTGAAACGATTATTGCGACATAGCATGATGTTTAGCAATAAGAAATAAAACGTCAACATTTTGTGGCGTAACAAGCAATATTAAATTCAGGTTGGGATATTTATTGACATTGAACATAATGGTAAAAGTTGCACGAGAAATTGAATTTTGTGGTTTAATGGGAGAAAATTAGTTATTGTTGTAAATGCTTAGTTAAAACTGTGCTTACATCAAATAACTTAAAGAAAATTCGAATTGCAATTAAAAAGTTTAACTTTATTCGAATTTCAATATTTTCAAATTTGCAAACAAATTCTGCTCAAAAGAATCAAAACAAAGCAAATCTGGAAAATACTTCACTAGAAATGTTTCACATTACAAGTGAAAGAGAAAAGCACACGACACATAAAGTTTTTTAATTAAAAAATCTGCCTTTGTTAAGTTTAAACAATTGACAATTGCTATTGACATCTGAATTGTAGCAAAATGTGAAAAACCATTACTTTCTGAAAAGGGAGAGTTGCTGTATGACAAAATAGGTTTCAAGTTGAAACAGAGGGAAGAGATGACTGGGATATTAGAGAGAATTGAGAAAACTTCGCCATTTTTCTCCACTTCAAATTTTAGTTTTGAAAAAAATCGGTCTTAACTTTTTCATTCTTCTTCAAATTTGAGTTTTTCTGGAATAAAAAAGTGGCAAGTTTAAGAATTCAAACTTTTAAATTTAAAAAACCTTATTTTAATAAAAATTATGTTATGATATAATGAGCTAAGCTCCTTATAGAAATCACAAAAATTCCTCAAAAAGCTCAACTCAATTAAATATAAATTTTAAAAATATTTAAATAAATTACTTTTTTCAACTCAAATCCATCCTAATTTAATCTTTATATTATTTTCCTTTCATTCGAAGGTTCGATCAGCAACATCGATGGCGATGAGTGTAGCTGCAGCAAAACGCATGTTGGGAATAAAGTTATCAGTGGAGTTGTGGGTGCTGCATCGTCTGTGACATCCATTCAAGTTGCGAATCTTTTGAGACTGTTTAGGATACCCCAGGTGAGTGACTGTGTGGGATGAAAGGTTAAATAAAGGATTGTCGGATGTGTGGGCAACGTTAGTGTATTTATGAAGATTTTGGAGAGGTTATTAGCTCGTTATGATGTGAAATAATATTTTTTGGGTAGAATATAAGCTTCTTAAATGAAATGTGAGATTTTATCAAGCTTTGTGGATGCTGTGTTATGGAACGATTCTGTTGATGAACGAAAAGTAAGTGAATGTTGAGTTTTAATTGACATTGCAATTCTCTTAAAAGCTTTTGATTCTTGTTATTTTGAAAACTAATATTAAAATTCTGAGAATATTTCTTTTGATGAAAATATATGAAAACTCGGAAAAAACCTAGAAAAGTAATCTGCAAACAGACAAAATTTAATATTAATTTCCAGTGTTCAGATATTTTTTAAATTTGAGATAAAATGTTGATTTTGTATAGTAAAATGCAAATTTTAAAAAAACTTTAATTAAAATTATCCAATTTGTTTGTCACAACGATCATTTGTCAAGCTGAGCGTTGTTAGAGCTGAGCGCCATTTCAGCTAGGCTTTCTTTTAGCTGAGCCTTCTAAAAACTGAACGCCATTACAGCTTATCCTTCTCACAGCTTAGCCTTCTCACAGCTTAGACATTACAGCTGAGCGTCATTACAGCTGTGCGTCATTACAGCTGAAAGTTCTTGCAGATGAGCGTCATTACAACTGAATAGCATTACAGCTAAGTGCCATTAATTTAAGGAGTTTTTGAGTTTAGAATTAAAATTTGAATAAATTTTGAGGTTAAAATTTCTTATTTCAGAACAATTTTAAGGTTAGAATTCAATATTCAAGATAATTTTGAGGTTAAAATCTAAAATTCATCGTGAATCGAATCTATATCCCTAATAATTCCTATAGAAAACATGCTTCAAAAAGAAACAGCCTGGAAGGAAAGGCATTAAATGTAGTTGAGCATGAAAACTCATTATTTTCTTATCAATAATTACAATCTTTTCACATAACCTCAACAATATACAGTCTCCTTATCCTGATGAAAATCAAATTATCACGAATGTCATAATGAACAGCATGAATGCTACATTATAGTTGATGAACTGACTTCACTGCTGTGCAATTCTCATTAAATCTAACTCAAAGAAGATGAACTAATTCCATATTATGAGACTTTTTTTGATTAAAATTCTTCAAATTGCAAATTCAACAGCAAAAAACTTTAATTAAGTTTCAGCTTTTGATGAATATCCCAAATTATTGATCTCAATTCACTTGAAAGCACTTCAAAAATTATGAAAAGGCAATTTCACCTTAAAAAATTAATTTCTTTCCCTTTTCAGTCTCATGCTCTCAAGGGCATCAAATGATTAGATTTTTTTTTTACATTTTTATATTTTTATCCATTTTTGACATTTAATAAATAAATAAATAAATAAAATTGGTAAGGAGGAAAATTTGATACCGAAAATGGAGCTTAAATTGTGGAAAATCGAATTGATTGAAAAATTCGAAGCGACATTAAAGCAAGATGTGAAGAATTCGCTGTGGAATCGAATATCAATTTAAATTGGAATTAATCTTTTAGCAAAATGAAAAAAAAAAAGACTTCAAGGATTTTTGATTGAAATTTGAAGATATTTTTGAGGTTAGAAATTGCGTGTTATTTTGGTAGATTTTGTCTTTAGATGTTGAAGACTTTTAAACCTTTAATGTTTGATCCAATCCACATCTACTACAATGTCTTCTAGCCAACCCCACCCTACTCTCTCGTAAACCATTTGCCTTTTTTAAATACCGACTCAAATCGAGAATTCCTTTCAAGTTGTTTACACAAATTTCCATAAATCTATTGTACTTCCTACCTGCATTCATGAGACCCGCTTGATTTTTATTATCATTTAATTTTACTGCTTTCATGTCGTCTGGCAATCTCCTACTGTAACTTTGTCATTAAATGAATGTTTTTGTGTTATTTATAGGATATTTTATCCAAAGAAATGTTCAAAGCTGTTTCCATCGATTTTTTAAACACACGAGTTGAGGATTGAAATTAAAATTTCTATTTTTAAAAATTTTCAATTCTTTTTACATTTGATAAATTCTATCTCAATTAAGAAATTCCTGAACTGAAAATGTTTTTCACGTTAATTTTTTTTTGTAATGCAAATTTTCCCTGAACGAATAATTTTTTTTTAGAAAATTCTTTCCACATTTCGTTTTAAAAATTAATTAAAATTCTCATGGTGAATTTTTTGTGAATATATTTTTAAAAGCTAGACGGACGAACAAAGTTTTTTGTGCAAAATTAAGCTTTAAAATTTTTTTCTACTTAATCTTTATCGGCCTGTTTCACTAAAGTGGATTATCCTCGATTTCGGATTATCCACTTCAGTTTTTTGGAAATATCGCCAGACGCTTAAGGTTATTAAGAGATCTAATGTGTGATCTAGCATGAGTACTTTGCTACTTAAATCAACATATACTTAGAATTTTTATATCTTCACTAGTTTGAGAATTATAGCAAATATTGAAGTTAATCTACTAGATTTGGCTAGGAAATTGAATAATTGATAGTTCTTAACGAAAAGTAAAAGTTTAAAGTATACAGAAATTTCAGGCATAGCTCACTCTATTATAATCCAAAATTAGAAATACCACACCTCCCATAAAGTTTAAGATATTTCCAAAAAACTGAAGTGGATAATCCGAAATCGAGGATAATCCACTTTAGTGAAACAGGCCGTATAATTCTAACCTCAAAATTTAAATACAAAAGATAAGTTGAAAACTGAATCTTACCTCAAAAACTAATCTTAACCTCAAAAACTGATCTTAACCTCAAAAATTGATCCTAACCTCAAACCAGAAGTTTACCTGAAAACTGAAGCTCATCTCAATATTTAAACTAACCTCAAAAACTGATCCTAACTTAAAAAAACTCATACTTACCTCAAAACTGAACCTAACCCCAAAAACAAAACTTAACCTGAAAACTGAAGCTCATCTAAAATTTGAAACGTTCCTCAAAAACTGATCGTAACCTCAAATCCAGAAGCTAACCTGAAAACTGATCCTAACCCCAAAACTTATGTTAACCTCAAAAGGTGATTTTTCAAAACTTATTTTGACTCGAAAAACTGATCTTAATATGAAAACCGATCTTAACCTGAAAACTGATTTTAACCTCAATAAAAAGTCTCAATCAAAAAAGCTCATTAAAAAAGTATAAATTTTATTTTAAATAAAAAATGGCTCATAAATTTCTCATCACTTTAACATAATTGTAATTAAGCAGACTCTCGAGACGACCGGAAAGGGCGCAAAAAATTCTTCCACATCAAAATCAATATATAAAAAAACTAAAAAGGAGAAGAATTTAAAGCGGTGAAAATAAAAAA